TCATATTGTTTTTTCTAACCCAATTATCAAGTTGCTCTATTGCCTGTGCTTTTGGCCAAACTGACAAATTTCATAAATAGATGTGTCGTCCACAAATTTTTCATCTGGGCAGCAGGTTTTTAGATCATTTATCATTGCTATAAACAGGATTGGACCTAACTTTGTCCCTTGAGGTACCCCTCCTTTAAGCTGGACCCAGTCAGATTTACACTGACCACATTTCACTCTCTGATACCTTTGGCATAAAAAGGAGTAAATCCACTTCCTAATAAACTCTGGAATCCCTTGACTGTCCAGTTATTCAATTAAGATGCTGTGGTCTATTCTGTCAAATGCCTTAGAAAAATCTAAAAATAAAACTTGCGAATAAGATTTGGTTTTAGCAGATGGTTCAAGACCTTCTAGTATTTTGTGAGTCAGCTCTACTAGAGCGTGGGTAGTAGAACTATTTTTGACTACTCCAAATTGGGACTTATCGATTTGCAGGCCACCCATCACCCATTTTTGCCACAAATGACTCCAATATTTTACTCAACACTGGTGTAAGCGATATTGGTCTAAGATCAGCCTCTATCACTTTTGGTTGGTTAACTTTTGGGACAGGGATTACCTCTGTAGACTTCCAAGTGTCAGATACATATCCCTCTCTGATAGAGCTATTAAAAATTGCGCTCAAGGGCTTGGACAGGAAGCCTGCAAAATCTCTGATGACCCACTTTGGAATTTGGTCAGGACCTATAGCCTTTGAGAGCTTAACATCAGAGAGAAGTTTTTCGACATCATTTACGCTTATAGTAAATTCATCTGGTACTGCATAGTTCTGGTGGACATTTTCAGCCGGTGTAAGAGGTGTTAAATTGCTACTAACACTTTGAAAAATTGTACGAGTATTTGTAATTTAATTTGATTTATTCATTATATACTGATGTATGTCTGCTGTACTGCTTTGTTCTTTCAAGAAGTTTATTGTATATTTACATTAATTATGCAATTTAAATTTTTGGTATTATCATCGTTACATTAGTTATTGTAAATCTTTTATTTTTGTACCTGTCTTTACTTAAAGCAATAATAACTCTTCCATTGAGATTCAAAATTCCGCAAGAAATACATTCTAAACAACGCATGGAAATATACTATATTGCATTTCACCACTAAAATGGCTGTTATTGTAGTAAAACTAAAACGTGGGCTTTCGGTGCCTTTCTTCACGGTCGTCAAGGCATCCGTTGCCACGGACGTTGGCGTGTTACGAGGATTCTCGCGTTCATTCGAGACCAAAATAACTGTTAAACATGTGGCGGCATAAGATATAGCAGGCGCATGATGCAATCCTCAGACGTAAGTTGCGAGTTTTTGTACATGTACAGTGCGTCGGATAACGAAAAGCCCAGAACTGCACACATTGTAGAAATAAATGCATTTTGAGCAATAAGACGATTATATCGTATGGATCTTATTTTATTGTAATAAAGTGTTGTTGTTGTCTGCTTTTCCTGCGGTTTTAAGTAGGTCACCAGAAAACCTCGCTCGATATCGTGTGACTATGCAATGTCAGAGAGGGCTCCGTCAGTTAAAATCTCTTAAGAGATTTTAACAAAAAACTGAACTTTTAGGAAAAAACCCTAGACTAACTTAGAATGCAGGAATGGGGTCGTTGACCATTGGTAAGTACGGGAAAATTGCCGTTTACTCCAGGAAAATCCATTTTTTGGCCAAAACGAAGAGTTATCATGACTTTAATTTTTAGTTAATAAACTACATCTGCCACCATTCTGAATCAGCTGTTCACAGGTGAAAACTACAGGCCTTTACCACCCTTTATCTTTTCAAAAGACTTGAATTAAATATATATATATATATATATAATAACAGTGTTTAAAATCAACATCAATGTTGAAGATCTTTATGATCTTAAATTTGATGAAGACTCATTTTGTTCAATATGATAATTTATGTAATTAATTTTCATATTCATTATACATGGACATAAATGTTATTTTTAAAAGGATACAGAGAATATTGAAACTCGTCTCTATATTCGATTTCCATACGAATATGGTTTTTAAACCGCTTTGTTTCTTTTTTACCATCCTTCATGCAAGGTGACAATCTTCCAAGGTAGCTTTCCAAGCATTTGAATTGAAAACCAGAGGTGTTTTCGATGGGCATTGCATTCAGTCCATATGCATGTGTTGTGCGGTGCATATTCGGACGTTTAAGCAAATTGTCGTAATCGTCACCGGTGATTTCTCCTTGGAACAAATTTTCCCAGTCTTCACGAGGTTTTTCTTTTTCAGCATTCATGATGTCTGAATCACAGACTGCTTCGTGGTCGGGTAAAATTGTATGCCACGTAAAATAACACGAAGCCATGTTAAGTGCCTTTCATATACCAGGTACCCAAAGTCTCACGCCTAACTACGCACTGCTTTTTATCCTCATTATTCACTAGTTGTTGAGGTCACTTTTCAAAGGGTCGATTTCTTTGCAATTTAAAATAATCTCCTTTGATTTCCAAAAGCGTACAGCTACCTTATCGAGGATATTTTTCATCGTGAGTCAGTAGACCTGACGCAGGAAATCAGATAAGCATTATAAATGAGGACAATTAAGAACAATTTTTCATGGTTACGTAGTTTTAAGCAAACAAAGTACATAGGCCTACTGCGTAGCGTAGAAAGATTGCAACTTCACACAACATAACAGATGACGGCCAATTAAGCATCGAGATCGAGCTTATAAAACAGCGTTGAGGCAGTAGAGGGACATGTCCTGAGGAATATTTGTGAGGTGAGAAGAATTATTTCATGTTCATGTTCGTTCGTATTTTGTTCTACAGCTCCCAGTTAAGGGAAGCTATAGCCATGCAGAGTGAAACGATTACCGATCAAAGATCAAAGCTTCATTTATTTTATTTTCTTGTAGTTTGGCTGAAGTTGACCAAGTTTGTGAACAAAAGAGACGCACGGAAGTCAACATTTGCATTGTCGTATCCTGTCGAAAATCATAGGGATTACTTATTACTAGTACTTAACTTAAAAACAATCAGACAACAAACAAACCATAACACAAAACCCCGCTGACGAGCAAGGAAACTACCCAAAGGAATCGGTTAAGTAGTGAAGGCATGGAACGAAAACCAGAGTCAGGTGAAGGAGAACATTTTAAGCGTGCTCGTATTGACCGCACCTATCATACTGGTATGGTCCACAGTGTACCTAAGAGCACCGTGTCTACGCCACCTTCATCAATGGACACGGTGTCCAGCAACTCACGCGATTGTATCAAAAACCGTGACGATACGGAAGGGGAAATACAGCCAGGGAGACATACGGTGTACGCGTGCTACACAGGAATGGATTTCACTCTGAAAGTTGATCAAGGCTACCCTTTGCATGGTCCTAAGAATTCACAGGTCAGCGTCAAGACCCATAAGGATTACACCAGGCTTAAATATCGTCTTCGGAAAGAGAAGGCCCACCAGGAAAAATGTCTGGTTGAGCTCGGATACCTGGATCCAAGTAATTATGACTTGACAGACCCAGAAGAGGTGGAGGAATTCAAGCAACTGTGGACAGCATTGTACGACCGCATGGACACTTGGTTAGGTGGGTGGAGGCGCTGGCAAGACGAACAGTACCGTCAAATGATTGAAAATATGTAATGATTAGTTGATAATGGGTACAAACACATATAACGTTCATATGTTTTACCCCGGTTGTGAACTGTAGAAATTATGCACATGATGACGTTCACCTATTACTAGAAAAAGGTTATGACCGTTTTGTGTACCTTAAAAATGCCTTCAACACGTCCTATAGGACTATGCTGAACTCTAGAGGAATCCCACAGAACACACTGGGGCTCTGTAGGAATTCTGTCTGACTTTTTATAGGATTCATATAAAGGACATGTGTCCTACAGTACCCTACAGCAGGGACGGATCTAGGATTATTTGAAAAGGGGGGTCTGCCGTTTTAACGGTTTAGAACAGTGATCAAGACAGTCAAAATACTAATTTCAAGAGGTTACCATTGGTGTGATATTTTTCAGAAATCGAAGGGGGGGGGGGGGTCAAGACCTCCCTGACCCCTCTACTCCGCAACTGCTGTAGGGGATTTACGTAAGGGTTAGTGCTTTTTATAGAACGTAAATGATTTTGCATTGACTTTGTATTAGTTCAGCTTTTGTATGACTCATTGTATAAAACGCAATATCTGAATTTATCACTTCACGGAAGTAGGATTGAAAGAAAGCGAAAGAGAAATATAGACAGCTTTTCATGATATTAAATCCTGTCCTTCGTAGTACAATATGTAATGCTTTATACGCTTTTACAAGCAAAAACTCTCTAACGATGTGCATGCAACCCTGCAGATACTATTTTTAAGATCAAATATCAGCAAACTTTTTTGGTAGTATGGACAAAATACAGCATTCATAGAAACAAATACTGAAAAACATTAAGGCCTCATTCCCATAGTCACCATCGGTCTACGTGAATCGACCCAACTCTGTGGGGACTCTTGCTGACTGCAATCAGCTTTACTGAATGACACGCCTACTGGTATTAAGAAAAACACAGAAAAGATGGTTATTATACGAGTACATTAAAAACAACATACCTGTACGTGTCATTCAGTAATGATGACTGCACTTAGCAAGAGTCCTCGAAGATTTTGGTCGATCCATCTAAACCGATGGTGTCTTTGTGAATGGGGTCTAAAGCGTTTTAGAATCCAACACAACATTAAGGGGGATATTTAAAACCGATATTTTTAAAAAAATTAATATCTTGATATTTTGATTATTATGACTTTTCTTTAGTTACGTGATTATGTATCATTTACTTTTTTGTTGCAATAATAATAATAATAATAATAATAATAGTTATTATAATTATCATAACAATAAAGGTTTCAGCACAAAAATATTTTAGATTTATTCACTAAAGATAACAGATGATTCGAAAGGATGAAACAATCACTGAGCCGCATCATTATAAAATGAGTTTTCTAAATTCTTCTAAATTCACGTAACTTAATCCCTAGGCGCCCACACACCGCCGTGGAGGGCCGGGTTAAGTGCCGGGTCTGGGTCACGTTGGAAAATAGTAGGTGGGGACATCTGGCGGATTTCTTCAAGACGATCCAGCATGCGTTTTACGATCTCCGGCTTTGTGTCCGACAGATCACATTCCTCCAGTGGGTCTCTCTTCATGTCATAAAGCCACACATTCTTATCCAAGGGGACATTTTCTATTGCAGGGTCCAGACCAATTATAGGGATAAAGAGGGGGACGCCGTTTTCATAACCCAGAACAGCGGCTGAAATTAATAAGCACATACTAGTTCATGTGTTTGGACGAGATACATCTTATGTGACCAGAAACGTAAAACAAACTGAAAAAAAATACTAATAGTTGTTTATCGCTGACACGTTGGAGCCGTCGAACTTTTAAGTCATACATGTAGTACTCACAAGAAGTTAACGGCCCTGCACTCACATTCAGAAATCAATTCAAACCAAAGACAGTGTTGTGAGTAAACACAAGCGGTTAAAATATTAAGCAACGTTAATGATGGTTTTATTCTCTCTCTCTCTCTCTCTCTCTCTCTCTCTCTCTCTCGATACCTGGTTGTCCTGTAATCAGTTTCCACTTTCCCCACCTCAGTGCTGCCCTCTGTGAGGTGTCAAATGTACCATTATAAAGACGGGAGCCTCTGGGAACTAACTGGGTTGACGCGGAGGGCCAGATAAGCTCGTGTAAGAGTTCTTTTCTGGGATATCCGCTATGTACACCAGTGCTGGAAAAAGTAATCGTTACAAGAAAAATCGTCGAAAACTAAATATCTTTATTATTATTTTAAGGGATTTTTTCCTCTATGATATGTCCTGCTTCCAGGTCTTTTCCAGGATTTTGACTAAAGCGAGAGTAATTTCACAGAGATACCTTTCCACTCTGATAATATTCAATATGATGTTATAACTTCTTCTGTTCATTTTGATATAAAGTCCTTAACGAGGGCTCTTTTCAATAAGACACAGGACACGGGGATGGAACGATTTCTTTGCTTAATTTTCTCGCCTCACTTGTTTTACATTTTTTTCGGGGAGTGGGGTGGGGGTAAAAAGTGACGTGTTGTTCCCTCTCATCCTGGACCAGTCGTTGCATACCTTATCAGCTTCCAAATATCAAAACCATCCAGTTTCAGCTGAGAGGCATCAAGGCCGGCTAAGCCAAGAAGTGTCGGATACCAATCCGTTATGGAGGCCAGCTGAGTCACCTTGCGGCGAGGTCTCCTCAGCAGTTTGGACCACACGAAAGCCGGCACTTTTATTCCGCCTTCCCACAAAGAACCCTTGATCCCTTTCAGTGGTTCGTTATTCCCACCAACAAGAGGGGCTCCGCCGTTATCTGAAATCAGGCATTCATGATATGCTTTGTAGATGAGATACAACAAATAAACTTCAGAGTGTCAGTATACATTTACTGTACAACTTGAACAATTTACAGTATACATGTACTGCACAACTACAACGACTTGAACGCAGTGACACCAATGAGTGAAGAAAAAATGACGTCATCAGCCCAAATGACGTCATTAATCAACTGAATTATCAAAGGACTTTTTACTGACATTCTGAAGTTTATATAATGTCTGCGAATATCATGTATCTACATACCAGAAGAGAAAACGATCACTGTGTTGTCCAACATGCCGTTGTCTTCTAGTGCCTGGTGGATTTTTGAAACTGCAGCATCCAAAGCAGACACCATTGCTGTTGAAATTCAAAACAAAAACGATATGGCCATTGTCGGAATTCAAAACGAAAGATCATACAATTTCATAACGCAGTAATACAATTTTTTTTTTCAAATCAAAATTGATATGCAAAATCAAAGTAAAATGGATTTCACCAATGTCCAAAAAGTTTCATCAGTTTGGTGGATGATAATAGTATTACATGTAATAGGGCTACTCTTTTGTCACAAACTGCAATGATTGCCCACAAGTAAACCGTGAAAGTCGATGCGTTTGAGAAACAACAAGGCAGCGATTTTTTTTATTATTATTGATAATTGATTGATTATTGATCCGGATCTTCACCAAAAACTAATCATCTCTTTCATGGCCCACTTCTGACAGTTCCTGAAAATTTCATCATAATCGGTCCATAACTTTTTGAGTTTTGTTGATGACAAACAAACTGACAAACAGGGGTGAAAACATAACCTCTGGCGGAGGTTAAAAAGGAAGTCAAACGTCAGAGTGAAAGAACAAAGGGAAGAAGCTGAAAAGGTATATGGAAGGAAAAAATTACACTAGAGATCAAAGGAAATAATCCACATAATAAAGGTGACCATCAGCCATCACGGACCACACATCACAAAAAAAAAAAAAAAAAAAAAATCATGGACTGACAGAGTGCTTAAATCCTACAGAATAAAGTGACAGGAGAACCAGATGATGAAAGGGAAAGCCATCTAGATTAGAAAAACACTGCACAATCTTAACAAAGTCGAAGGCAGATACACTCTCTCTCATCTGTATGATGACCTCTCATTGCCGCACCTGAGTCAGTAAAGGGTGGGTGGGGGGGGGGGGAGGCAAATACACAACGCATTCCATGTCACCCGGTGCATGATGAAAATGGCATTTGCTCCGTCAAAATATCTCATATGAGCTATATTTACAGCTTGTGACAAAAGAGTAATATTACTCATGGCATTCTCCAAATTTTCAAATATTTATTATATATTTATTCGCATATATTGAGACACAAAGGATAAACATTATTTAAACTAAAACATGTACATTGGTATAAGATTGTGGAGTCCTGATCAGCATTGTGTTTATTCCAAACTCTGCCTACCTATTTTTCTGGATTATATTTGGGAAATATAAAATATATTTCATAGTGTAGCAAGTCATAGGCACCAGCTTATGGCTTTTGTGCAAGTAATGAGATGAATATGTCAACATAAACAATGTGAATTCTCGGACAGTACAAATGATTGGCCATCACAAACCTAGAAATGTTTTCCTTTTGCCATCTGGCATGTCATCATAGAGAGCTTCAAATTTAGCAGGCACCTGTAGTGGCTCATGAGGGAGTTGGAAGGCCATGTACAAAAACAATGGCTGAAATACCAAGGAAATCGCATGAACAAAATCACATGCGTTGTTGCCAGCGTGAACTCACCGAGACGATGATACACACTGTTTGACGGCCATTTTGAAATTTTGTTAGATATAATGGCAACTATAGTTAGTTTCATTAACATTTACTGTCATCAATAAAACATTTGTTATAGACACAATGTCAATTTGCATGCCAGAGATATGACACCAGCAGTAATTGCTAAAGATACTACTGTAGTAACACGAAATACGTAAACCACTTTTCGCTATTAAATATTCCAGAACCATTATATGTTAATATGTCATCTTTAATTATGTCTTAATACAGCTACAGTTTCCATGAAAAGCAAAACTAAAATGATTATACATTATACATCATCAGCTTACATTGCTGGGGTCGTGTTTGTTGATGATATCCGTGGCTCGCTCCACATAGATGTCGGTAGCGTAGGTGCCATTCTTGGTAGGATCAGGACGTGTGTTGTTCCAGAAGTCAAGGCCGCACACTCCAGTCCCGACACCACAAAACTGGTGGGTGTAGAAATCGCCTCTCCCATAATGCTTTCCTGAATAATAGTAATAATAATAACATTTGCTAGCTAATGTTTAAAAATTTTAATTTCTGATATACTTATTAAAACAGGTACTTCCTTATCTAACCCATCTTCCTCTACACTGTCGCAGTTTCATTCTTGATATTCGTCATTGGTATTGATATTATGCCTGATGTAACACACATATGTCTATATAAAAACATCTCGTTTACCATACTTTCCATAATAAATGCGGTAAACCGCGAGGCTGTCAATAATTTTCCTTCTTTTCTTCTCTAGTACATACACGTACACACTGGTTAGTGAAATATATCCACTGGTGGGTCTACGACTTTGCTAGGACCAAAGGAAGGACAGGCACAAATAAATATTTAGGCGAGCGAAGGCGCTCAAATACAAATAAATAAATAAAATAAAATAGAAAAAAGACGAAGACTGTTTGACTTAAATGAGCGTATTTACTCGGGTCATTGCTGCTTTGGGGTGCCTTGTCTCCCTTGCTGACTTTTCTTGTGGTGATGGAGGGAGATCGGGTGCCTCCAAGGCTCACTGAGGAGGAGGAGTCATGGCTTATACTGCACAACTGGTTCCGTCTATGACATTACACAATAGTTACGAGGACAGTTGACACATATACGTACCGTAAAATGAATCAAACCCTCTGTTTGTTGGCAGATAAGCCCTCTCGTAACTACCCACGTGCCATTTTCCCACAATATGGCTGCTGTAGCCCCTCTCTTTCAGTTTCTGTGATATCAGAGTTTCACTCAGTGGCAAACCCTCCGCTTTACCAGCGAGGATGACATTGGACAGTCCAGTCGTTGCCTGTTAATAGAATTAGATAGAGGAATAGCGTGATTCCTGACATTTCAATTCCAGATTTGGGGTTGAGGCTAGGATACTGAGCTTGCATGCATGTTTGATTAGTCACTCGGTGGTCAGTTATTATAGAGGCGCAATTAATGCTTTCATGTTAGGAAAAGATTGACAATGTCAAAGTCACATATAATTATATTTGATAAATTGATTTCACAATCAAATTGTGTAGTATAACACATGACAACTGAGTTTTGGGTTTGATCCAAGGATGATGTAATGCAAATAATATTTAAGTTTCTCGACTGAAAACAAGGGTCCCTGGGCAGACATTGCCTTGAAAGAAAATACTGGGTGGTGAAATGAAAAATCAAAATGGAAAATAGCAGTTATCACGCAAATGACAATGTAACAAAGAAAAGTAAATGTGTGATTGGTGCGAAAAAACAGAGTATAAACACTATTGAATTTGTATGTCCAGTCAGTCGGTGAATAAGTGCCCCAGTAGCAACATCATAAAGCAGCTCTGCATTTACCTACATGTAGCATGTTAAAAAATAACATCATAATCATTAACCATCTCTACACACATACAAGCATACTGTACACAAAAGTACACACACACGCACGCACACACACAAACGCACACACACGCACTCACACTCACATACGCATGCACACGCACACACACACACACACACACACACACACAACATTTACCGCATATCTCCCCGTCAGTAACTGGCCTCTACTTGGAGAACAGAAACTCTGGGCGTAGTAATTCTCCAGCTTCACCCCCTCCGCCGCCAGACGATCGAGAGTCGGCGTCTTCACCTGGTCGTTATGATAACCTATGTCGTTCCAGCCCAAGTCGTCTGCCAAGAAAAACACGATGTTCGGTGGTTTAACTGGACCAATAGGCGGGAGATTCCTGCTTTTTCCCTGACGGTATCTTTTGCCACTCAGGGAGCCATGGAATTGTGACACAATTAGGATGACGGCGAGTATAATGTTATACAACATGTTCTACCTAAATGAAGACAAAACAAAAAATGTAGTGGATAAGAATGTGAATAACGAGAAAAAGAAGTTGTGCATATGCAAATCCACTTGGTTTGAAGTTAGATCAGAATTAGACCACTGTTGTGGTTGCTCAGTATGGATTATTACTCAGGACTATTGCTGTGATA